ATATATACACTAGCTGTGTACCCGCGCAAAGCGGCGGTGATAAATAACTTCTTTCCGCAAGTTGTTACATTCACCAGGTGGCGGTGGACATCATATACGAGGGATTTCCATAGTTTTTAAGTGAACATCTAACTTCTAGTGATTAATCTCTTTTTATGGGGCAATTAATAGTTATGGTTCTTTTCAACGAATAATTTATTTAAAGAAAAATGCCGTATTACAAAAAAAAAATTTGGTTTATCTTTTTTGTTTAAGCTTTCGTTTTATAAGACTATCTACATTCTTTACAGCAACCATCGCTAATATTTATTGAAAATACATTATTTTTCTCTATATACAAAATGAACTTTTTATTAACTTCATTTACGGTCCAATCTAATCAAAACCAACTTTTATGATATCAAACAACACAAATCACAAAAAAAATAGATATACCAATATTTTTATCTGAAAAATAAATTATGAACTCTTGTTTATTTTCTTTATTCTTGAAAAATAATATTTAAGTTATGAGTTATATAATTTAGTTAAAAACAAAAGGATATGAACCAATTGAAACATTCAACGTGGCCAGAAAAAAAATGTAAGATGATGGGTCGAAGAAATAACAAACACCCCTAAATGATATTTATGGTTCTTGTTTTGAATGATGGTAAATAAAATAACTACATGTTTATCTGATAAACTTTTATAAATTGAACAAAATATTTAATCAAAATATGATTAATAATTTTAAATTAACATAATACAGGATGTAATAAGCTCACACAAACAATAATTACTCTATTTTTATAGTATATAACACATTTTTGCATTTACAACGGACTTATCGAGTTTCATTTAATTATCTTGTTTTAAACTTCAATTTAGTACTTGAAGCCAGTTTTGTTAAAAAAAATATGATAATGGATTTTTTGTAACCGGAACATAATGCAATATCATTTACTTTATTTTTTTTTCTTGCATCAAGAATAGGGAAATGATTTTTTTTAATTCTTTTAACCATGTTTTCAGTTTATACACCTCACGCACAAAGAACAGAAATGCTAAGGGTAACTATACAAACCTATTAATTCCTAATAATATAAAATCATAGTGCAAATCCTATCTAAATGTTGCTCACATATAACCTTAGATAACATTTCAGACTTTTGACTTCGTAATATCCAACTTTTGCCACATACAGACCCCGTCTTGACTCCTTGAGCCTTTGAGTGCCACCTGAGTCTAGTTGAACAACATCCTTGTGCCATTGCATCCTACATGTTTTACCTTATTTTTCCATCTCACTGACTACTTTTTTCTGACTATAGTTATATAAATTGTTAAACCAAAATGGAGATCAGAGTACTAAACATTTTACAAAGAGAATAGAAAGGGGAAACTTAAGCTTACACAGTGAAGATATACATTTATTCAAATGGTAAGGAACACAAGTGAAGCTTCCACCCATTCTTGCCTCTTCAAGTTGAGCCCTACATAAGTAAAGCTTCCACACATACATACAATCAGACAATTAGAATTACCACAACAATTCTATCAGAAATCAATGTCAAGACATGAAGAACTAATTGTACATAAGAAGATGCTAATGTAGAAGACCCAAAAGCATATATGAAATCTCACAGAACACCATTCTTTCTGATATCCAGATCCGCAAATGACATTTTGAGGGTGAGGGAAGGTTATGGAGGATCTAAAAGGGATTTACTCTAACCAAAGGATGGTGACAGAGGTGGGGGCAACAACGATTGGGTTGTCGGTGACGATGAGTGATGGAGGGGATGGATAGTAATTTAGGGTAGTGAGAGGCAGAGATGGATCGTAGCGGTGGGAGTTCATAACCAGAGAACTGGAGCGAGGGCAAAGAGATGGTGGAAACGGCGGCTGTTCACTGCTGGTCGATGGTGGTGTGGGAGAAAAAAGAACATCCGATTAGGGTTTCTATGTAGGTGCTCCTTCATGCCACGATTACGTTTTTAATTTAATTTAATTAAATTGATACCTTTTATGTGTATTGAACAATAAGCATAACATGATTGTATATCATGTATTGAATTTTGTACCTCTTAATATTCAAGAAAGGTTGAATATGCTTTATATAATAGTAAAGATATATAATTTAACTATTTAAAAAATGTTTTGTGTAATAAATTAATTTATGTTCGGAGTGACCAAGTCTCTTCGGCAAAATCCAAGGTGGTGTCTTTGAGCTTAATTAGATGTTCCCTATGGAAAGGAGTTTATGATGAAGTGAAACCCTTAGTTTCGTGATACTATAAAGGTCTTCATAGGGTATGCGGTTGTTAACAATTAGATATTGTTTATAAGAAAAACATTTCCATGTGATTTCTAAACCCTACAACTTTGTGCATATCCCAATTACAAATATAACTTTATTTTAGTTGTTTTGAATATGTGCGTATATTGAAAGGTCTAGTATGTTCAAGAATCATATTAAAGTGATATTGCTAATAAATATATGATACTAATGGGTCACACTAACAACAACTTGATTTAATTGATTATTTATTAGAAATTGATTTTAATACATATTCAATAGAACTCTTATAATTAAATTGGAAATTATTTATTTCATGGAAATAATAATTTTCATTAGCAAGTAATATTATATAATCCATATGGTATGAATTAATAAGTTATGTACAACATTATGGACTAGTTGAAACCCTTTTGTCTTTTATTCAAAAAACAAAGTTTATATTTTATAAACTTTGAGTTTATAAAATTTAAACAAACTCTTCTCTTTTGTATATAACTTTCAAGAAAAAAAGAGTTATGTGCTATTAATTATTTAAATGAGAGAATGGCTCTTTGAATATATAAATAAGAGTATGGTCTTTTGATTATTTAAATGAGAGAATGGTTCTTTGATTATTTAGATAATGGCATGGTCTTGTGATTATTTTATTCATAAAGTAGGGAACTGTTTCTACTATAAATACAAGACTTGATGCTTTCATTTGGCTTTCTCATTCATATACTACCAAAACCGTAGCCTCCTTAGAGGAAGTTACTCTCTCTCTCTCTCTCTCTCTCTCTCTCTCTCTATTTTCTTCATCTTTTCTTGAAGATTACTTGCTCTTATATGCCCTCTTTAAGTTCATATTGGTTATGAACTTAATGCTTAAGAGATTAAGAGTTTATGGCTAGCATCTACATCAAGTTGAGTCATTGTTGGTGTCTCAAAGGTTACACATTCTTCATCAACTTTCAAGCCTCCCAAGAGGACCCAAAGAACTACAAAGGTTGTTAATTCTTCATCCTTTATTTGGTTGGTGCTTAAATCTTTCTATAACTTACAAGAAGATCCTTGGTGGGTATAAAATGTTTATGTTATTTCAAAAAAAGAAAAAATTATGTCTTCCGTTTGCCATATTTTGTAGTTTTTGAAACTATTTTTGAACTAAAACCCAATAATTTGTATCAGAGCCACCTTGCAAGTTTGATTAGATTTTTGATTTTTGGAAATCTTAGTTTTTGGAGAACATAGATAACTTATTTTTGTATAAAAAATAACTTCATACATATTTTCATTGACAACTTTTTTTTAATTGTTATTTTATGAGACAAAAGTGTCATGCATATTTTGTCGATTAAAATTGTCCTAGAAAAACAAAGGTTGTTTTATGTATATGTTGATGTGTATGATATGCATAAACTGGCCAATGACCATAATGATTGTTGTGTTGTTGTGTTTGTTGTAAAAATGGTCGTAATAATTTATTTATTTATAAGGTATGTAATAATTAAATAAATTAGTTTTTCTTGTTTATTTTTGTAAAGTAATAGATTAGTTTTTAGAAATAATTTATTCGCACAAAGTTGTAACAAGAAATGAAGTTGTAAACCATTTTTGAAGACAAAAGGGAATATTTCGAGTTCTACATTTTCTGAGCAGAAATATGACACTTTCAGTAAAGTGTCGTGAATGATACAGATGAGCTGAACAGAAAGATGACATGTTTCGTGAAGTATGAATGCTGTCAACAGTTTTTTAAAAGGCTGTTGACCTAATGCAGCACTTTCTGCAACCTTTTCAGAAAAATGTTGTATATACCTGAGTTTTTTCCTTTAAAGATCCCAAAAAATCTTTTGCAAGCAATGGATGCTTACTCAAGTGGGAGCTTCTACAACAACATTACAAGAAGATTTTTGGTTCCCTTAAATGTCCTTTTAGGAATGGACTTGGCATCTTTTGTGTTGGCTCACAAAAATGTCATTAGTTGGTTATGTTTATACACATATCTTTTATTCATGTTTCTTTTGTTTATTTTATGCAATTATTATGCGTGGTTGATAAATTAGTTTTTCACATGCTAAAACAATTTTGGACAAAATAAACATCATATGGAGTTTATTTGTTTTTTTTTTCAAAATTGGACATAATAGATAAAAAGTTATTATTTTAAGAATAAAACTTGCTTTTATTAAATCGTTAATAACAACAGATTTTGAACTACTTTATTATCAGTTTTAAAATGGTGATTTTTGTAACTTATACAAACTCCAAATATACAAGTAATAAAATGAAGTTTTATTAAAGATATAAAAGGTTCAAATGCACTCAAACTTAATACCGGTTATTAAAATTTAGTTGTGTCAAATTATATAAAAACTAGTTTTTTATATAGAACCTTTAAAATTGATTTTCTTTTGAAAATAGATACCATGGTTTATTATATACATGTAATAAACGTGATATCATATGTTTTTAAACTAGAATTATAAAACATATAAATACCATTTTTACAAACCTCAAATCTATGCAATCCTTTTGAAGAACACTTACACATATCTTGTATGCACTAGTAGGATACAGGATACCTAACCGATTACACAAGTTTTTCAAATTGGACAATTTGATTGGGAATCTTTTGTGATAAAGGATACCTTAAGCAAGAGAGTTCCGAGACATAGATGGGATCAAACATGTCAAATTAAATTTGTTATTAGCGATCCCATAAATCTAGGAATTATATAGTAAGATATAATTGATAATCGATATCTACCGGGTTGAATTCAAATGGATGAGATAAATGATGCCTAACCATTTATTTGTTTTGCAACTTGAATCCTAGATTTTGATAATTAATGTTTTTGGAAACTAAAAGGGTACTAATTATTAAAGATTAAATATTGAAAATACTAAATTAATTTTGTTAAAATTTTGTAGTTAAATAATCCATTCTCATTATCATGAGTTGACTTTTTTCTTTAATGACTTAATGAAACAATAACATTCAATAGATACAACTTCAATGAATGGGTTCATGTCTTAAGAGACAATCTCCTGAGATATATGAAATTGTATACACTTAAAAGTACTAGTCCAAAGCTATTTGCTTTGAGCAATTAAACCTGAACATGATACCTAGTAAAGGCATCATTGTGATGCTAAATATGCTTCTAACATCAAGCTAGGAATCGTTATTCATGACTTCTAGGAATTCTTGGATAATTTGATCATATATCTGATGATATAACAGGTTAAACAATATTCCAATAAATACAGTGATATTTTATTTAAAGCAAGTTTAAACATTGGAATAATGCAAGGCTAAATGAGTCACCTAGTGTGATCTAAGAGGCCCATGTTTTATGGACTGAACACCTTTAAGCCCACGAAATCTGCTAAAGCCCACATAGATGGATCTTGTTTCTTTTGTGAAGAAACTGGACACTGGAAGAGGATTTACTCCTTTGATTTGGAAAGAAAGTATGGAAGAGACTAGTACTTCTATTATCTACTAGATAGAACTCATACTTTTCATATAACACTTAGGTACTTGGTACTTAAATGTTAATCTGATATTTGTAAATGGCTAGTATATATTTATTGAAGTGTAACCAGCTGAGCACAATCAAGTATGAACTACACTCTCGGAGTTTAGTTTATTATTTTTTACTAAGAACATAAAGTACTTGTAATGTAAAACAATATTTATTTTTGAACAATGTATGTTTTAATTTAGCATGTCTAAATTTATGTCTCAGTTATTTTATTCAAATGTTTGATCATTTACTTAATCGTTTGTCATAACGATAATATTTATATTCTGAAATGATTAACTTCTATTTATGAGACTAGATCTCTTAATAGAATTGTGAAGTAAATATTAACATTTTATAAATACAATTAAGTTCTATGTGCAAACACTTTTGACTTAAACTTGTTTTAAATCAAACTCATCTTTGACATTGTTATCTTTATTATATAAACGACATTCATATATTCCAACTTCAAGAAAGGGATCTTTAAATTCAAATAATTTAGTTTATTTGACATATGTGAACCTTATTTATATGTAAAGGATTCCTAATGATATTTTCTCTAAAGCATAGAGAAAATGATTAAGGAACTATACACTTTGGCGTATGACTTCCTTTCTAATGAATGTATGAGATTAAACACAAGATACCAAATCAACTTTAATAACAACTATAGTAGTTTTAATTATAGTTTACATGGTAATGCATAATTGTGACATCTTGGTTGAAGGTTTCAAAAGTTGAGATACAAACTGGTAAGAACCATCTAAGACCTTAATGATAATAAAGGATGAAGTAAATCTTACTTGGTATGATTTATTTTCTAATCGGTAGAGATATCTTCCTTTAATATTTTTGGGATAATACTTCAATCACTATTAATTGTATCATGAATACAAATACCAACTAATAAGTAGATTAAACATTTTATAAGATTAAGTATGGAAAGGGTCCATCCTCATCTTACTTAATGTTTTATGGATTTGAAGCCGATGTTGGACTAAAGGTTCTAACTCGAAAATCTACTAAATACATATTTGTATAAAACT